TTCGTTTTCGTTTCGCTTGGCAGCCAAAAGGCAGAACGAAGGAAGACGAACGCGGAAAACACGGTTTAGTTCGGGCCTTGAGGATCGGTGAGGGGGTCAGTCGATGTCGCCCGAAAACAGAACGTAGTCAACGACAGCAGTAGAGATGCGCTAAGGTCGTCAAAATTGCCCTTGCATTACGCCGTTTGTCGGGGGCGACGATATCCGATAGGGGCGAATAGCCCAAGGGAGAGTAATACATGCATCCAAGGGTCACCACCCATCGGACCACCCCAACCTAACCCGAAGGACCCAATTTGCCCTCCATTTCCAGTGAGGGGGGGTCGGGGAACATTGGAAACACACATGGAACCCGGACCCCCCCAACCCGAAATTCGGGTCTTCGGGTTGGGTTGGGGTGGTCTGGTAGGTAGTCAAAAGGCGCTTGTGATCCATGCTTTCGGCGCCCGCCCCTAGGCTATTCGCCCGCCCCTGGGCTCTTCGCCCATATCGCCGCCTCCGAGCTCGGCCCATCCTTTGTTCATGGCGTTGGCCTAGCGCGTGTACCGATGTCTCGTTTCAATGTTGGGCCCCAGAGTGTTTGCAGCCCCACCCAGAATATCTATCGGCGGCGAGCCTGGGGAGGAAGTGAGGCCTTCTCAAAAGGCTCGGAAGTCCCTGGGCCTTCTGCGAACTGTTCTAAGCCTCCCCCGCAAACACAGAATACTTCTCAGAAGGCCCCAGGGCTTCTGAGAAGTCCCGCCGCCTTCTGATGAGGCTTTCTCCTTCTCCCTTCCCCCCCCCTCGCTCGCCGCCGAATCTACAAATGTTTTCGACCGTGGACGCGCACTTTCGGGGGTCTGCGCGGAGTCCCAGGGTCGGCGCCAGGCCACCTCCCCACCCCGCTGCCACGGCGCGCGGAGCGCGCCAGGGGCGGCATCCGAGGCAGCCCCCTGGATGTAGGGTTACGTCGGGCAGGTCCCTCTACAGGAGGAATATTCAAACATAGTCGCTTAAACAATAGGAAACATAGTTGGGATCGCTTGCTCTATTATTTTTCTTGAGTTTTGAATGTTTCTGGATTTTCACTAACTTTCCTTAAGCATCCGCCTGTAGGGGGACATGCCCGACCTAAGTATAGGAAAGAGAGCTTGGCGCCGACCCGCGAAATCCGCGCGTGCTCGCGAAAGCAGATGTTTATAATGATCTTTGCCGTCCGCTTTTCGATCGAGGAGCGTCGTTGTTTCCGCGACTTCACTTTCTAGGACGTGCGCTGACCATGCACGAGTGTCCAATGCACCGCCTGGCGCGCAACAGAGCCGCCGGAAGTGTATTAGAGTGGCTGATCTCACTATCTTGCCAACGCGCCTCTGACGTGCACAGCTGCGTCTCCATCTCTCTTCATGGCGCCAACATCGCAGACCTGATTTCGTTCGGATTTCAACAGGATGGACCCGCAGAGTCCTGGATCATTTTGTTTCGGATTTCGAAGTCAATTTCGCGCGGATTTTTGTTAGCCAGGAATGAAGACTAAAACCATCCACGCGAAGTTCACTTCATTTTTCACTCGCCGTTTCGGGGTTTTGCATTGGCAGAGATCCACGCGAAGATCCGCTGCAGCACGTCTGCAAGGTCGGTGCAGTGATCTTTCTCTTGATTACCTAACAGCAAAGACTGATAGGGTTCTGATGGTCTCAGAAGAAAGCATCTTGACTCCTCAGGGGTGTGTGGGCAGATGCTGGACGGGTGCCGGGGAGAATCCGTGGAAGTCGTTTTAAGCAAACAGTTACACACTTCGAGGTCTTCGAGGTCCCAGAACTCCATTCCTGGGCATGTTTTTGAATGCCCGGAGCCAACTGTAGGCCACTTCGTGGTCTTCGAATTCCCAGAACTCCATTCCTGGGCATGGTTTTGAATGCTCGGAGCCAACTGTAAGCCACTTCGTGGTCTTCGAGGTCCCAGAATTCCATTCCTGGGCATGATTTTGAATGCCCAGAGCCAACTGTAGGCCACTTCGTGGTCTTCGAATTCCCAGAACTCCATTCCTGGGCATGATTTTGAATGCTCGGAGCCAACTGTAGGCCACCTCGTGTTCTTCGAGTTCCCAGAATTCCATTCCCCGGCCACATTTTGAATGCTGAGGCAGGCTGATGCTGAGGCTGAGTCAGGCTGAGGCTGAGGCAGGCTGAGGCTGAGGCCGAGGCTGAAGGCAGACTAAGGCTGAGGCTGAAGCAGGCTGAGGCTGAGGCTGAGGCAGGCTGAGGCTGAGGCTGAGGCAGTCTGATGCTGAGGCAGGCTGAGGCTGAGGCTGAGGCTGAGGCTGAGGCTGAGGCTGAGGCTGAGGCTGAGGCAGGCTGAGGCTGAGGCTGAAGCAGGCTGAGCTGAGGCTGAGGCTGCTGAGGCTGAGGCAGGCTGAGGCTGAGGGGGCTGAGGCTGAGGCTGAGGCTGAGGCTGAGGCTGAGGCTGAGGCAGACTGAGGCAGGCTGAGGAGGCTGAAGGCAGGCTGAGGCTGAGGGCTGAGGCTGAGGCTGAGGCTGAGGCTGAGCTGAGGCTGAGGCTGAGGCAGGCTGAGGCTGAAGGCAGACTGAGGCTGAGGCTGAGCAGGCTGAGGCTGAGGCTGAGGCAGGCTGAGGCTGAGGCTGAGGCAGGCTGATGCTGAGGCAGGCTGAGGCTGAGGCTGATGCAGGCTGAGGCTGAGGCAGGCTGAGGCTGAGGCCGAGGCTGAAGGCAGACTGAGGCTGAGGCTGAAGCAGGCTGAGGCTGAGGCTGAGGCAGGCTGAGGCTGAGGCTGAGGCAGGCTGATGCTGAGGCAGGCTGAGGCTGAGGCTGAGGCTGATGCAGGCTGAGGCTGAGGCAGGCTGAGGCTGAGGCCGAGGCTGAAGGCAGACTGAGGCTGAGGCTGAAGCAGGCTGAGGCTGAGGCTGAGGCAGGCTGAGGCTGAGGCTGAGGCAGGCTGAGGCTGAGGCAGGCTGAGGCTGAGGCTGAGGCTGAGGCAGGCTGAGGCTGAGGCAGGCTGAGGCTGAGGCCGAGGCTGAAGGCAGACTGAGGCTGAGGCTGAAGCAGGCTGAGGCTGAGGCTGAGGCAGGCTGAGGCTGAGGCTGAGGCAGGCTGATGCTGAGGCAGGCTGAGGCTGAGGCTGAGGCTGATGCAGGCTGAGGCTGAGGCAGGCTGAGGCTGAGGCCGAGGCTGAAGGCAGACTGAGGCTGAGGCTGAAGCAGGCTGAGGCTGAGGCTGAGGCAGGCTGAGGCTGAGGCTGAGGCAGGCTGATGCTGAGGCAGGCTGAGGCTGAGGCTGAGGCTGATGCAGGCTGAGGCTGAGGCAGGCTGAGGCTGAGGCCGAGGCTGAAGGCAGACTGAGGCTGAGGCTGAAGCAGGCTGAGGCTGAGGCTGAGGCAGGCTGAGGCTAAGGCTGAGGCTGAGGCAGGCTGAGGCTGAGGCAGGCTGAGGCTGAGGCTGTGACTGCGACTGGCGTTGCCACTGCGACTGTCATCGCGAATGCGACTACGACTGCGAGAAGAGCAGAATTCTACAACTGGATTCTCATCTGAATCTTAAGGGGAATGCTTCCAGATATGCTCCTACACAGCGCTGTTAGGTTGCTTTGCCGGGATAATCTCTCTTTCTGTCCCTCTCTCTCTCTCTGTCTCTGGTCGTCCGCTAGGTACATGGACTCGGGGCAGCTCCGAAACTACCGCGGCGCCACCGAGTCCTTTGCCCATGGAGACCACAACCCTGTGAACGCCGGCACCCGGCTGAGCCCATGGCTCGCCTTCGGGTGCATCTCTGCGCGGATGCCGAAGAAGAAACCACTGTACAAACATAGGTTTTCGGAGCACCGCGTGCATCTTGGATCGGCGCTGGGCTGAAGTCGGGCATGTCCCTCTACAGGAGGAATATGTTTGAGCATTTTTTGTGTACTTTTGATCTTTCGCCCAAGATCCGCCTGTAGGGGGACATGCCCGACCTACAGCTAGGCTCCCCTCTCGGGCGCGCGGAGCGCGCCAGGGTCGGCGCTGGAGGTGCCGCCAGGGAGGTCCAGCACCGATCCAAAAAAGCCGCGCGGAGCTCCGAAAGTCTACGGTAGGTTCGCGTCCTGTCGACCCGCGGCGACCCCGCCGCGGGTGTTCAACGTTGAACGTCGCCGGCGACCCAGAATCGGGCGATGTTGAACGATCTTGACGTTTCGGGATCGGCCGATCGTTCAAGGTCGAACGATCCCCGCGATGTCGGGAACCAGCGCCGGGGTCGACACGACGCGAACCTGCCGTAGGTTCTCGGAGCGCCGCGTGAATGTCTTGGATCGGCGCTGGGCCCCCCTCTCCGGCACGCAGAGCGCGCCTGGGTCGGCGCCAGAGGTGCCGCCAGGGTTCAGTGAGGAATGTTCAGAAATAGTCCAAAAATAGTCTGGGGACGATTTATCTTTTATTTGTATTGACTATTTTTGATTGTTTTGACTATGTTTGCATTTTCCGTTTAAAATTCTCCTGTAGAAGGACATGCCCGACCTAACGCCAGGGAGGTCCAGCACTGGTCAACAAAAATCCTCGCGGAGCTCCGAAAGTCTATGTTTATGCAGTCGTTGCCTCTTCGATGATGGTTGTTCACGCATCGCGGGACTTCGAAAGTACCCACGGCAAGAGCAGCTCCACTGGGAAAGGCAGCGGCAAGATGGGGTCCACGGGGGCGCGGCTGCACACAGAGCTGAACTTCCGCGACTTCCTGCGCTTCTCAGCGCTCTCGTGGGGCACCGACCTGTTCAAGATCGGTGGCCCGTTCAAGATCTCTGGCGTCACGTGGGGTCACGACGGTGAGCTCTTCGCGAAGTGGCGCGCGGGACAGACCGGATTCCCGTTCGTGGACGCCGGGATGCGTGAGTTGGCCGCCACGGGCTACATTCGGGTCTTGCCAGAAGTGCCCCTGGCCCAAGATGCCCCCAGGATTGCCGGAAAGGCCCCCACGGCCACCAGCGCACCCCTCATGAGGACCACAGGGCCCCAGGGGCTCCAAAATGGAGCGAAAAGATGGAGGTATCTTCGGCCAGGAGCTCCTTCAGCAACCCCGATACATGTCTCATCTCCACCGGCAGTGCTGTGCGGCTTTCCTCGTGCGGGATCTGCGGCTGGACTGGCGCCTGGGGGCCGAGCACTTCGAGGCGTGCCTGCTGGACCACACGCCGGACGCGAACTGGGGCAATTGGGCCTACCGCATCTTGCAGCGCCCCGGCCTCGTGGAGTCCCGGCGAGACTACCCAGTGGAGAAGCACATCCGGTAAGGGTTCGGGGTGCGCACATGCAGACAGCCAGGTAGTCCCGGCTGGCCTCAGCAGGCCCCCCGAGTCGTTGGCGCCGCCTCCGGCAGCGCCCCATGGGGCGCTCCGCGCCCCAGAGTTGGGGTCTCGAGACCGCCCTAGACTACTCGTGGTGCCTGTTGAGTCAAGCAGAGACTACCTGGTGGGCTGTCTGTGCGCAGCCCGAAGCCTTACCAACATCACCACAATGGAGTGTGTTGCGTGGCCAGCCGTCCACGACGCCGAGCTCGAGCACACCTTGCGCTGGGTGCCAGAGCTCGCGGCGCTGCCCCGAGACCTTGCCCGCGAGCCGTGGCGCACAGAGACGGTGGGCGATGAGCGCATATCGGTGAAGCCTTACAGGGACTCGCCGCTGTGGTTCTGCGCGGCCAATCTCGGGCGGTTGGTAATGGCCCATTGGGCTCCTGCTGGCTGGCTCCAAACGGAATCCTATAGGGCCCCATTTGGGGTCCTTCTCGTTACCCCTCATTTGGGTCCCCCCCCAGTACCACCCGCCCGACAATCGCGCAAACTGGGATTACGAGTACTTCTGGCTGCCTGGCCACGCCTGGACAGTCAAGCGATTCAAGGGGGCGCCGCAGCACGACGGCTTCCGCCTGGGCCGCGACTACCCAGCCCCGCTGGTGCGAAGGAGAACAACATTTGCACAGACACAAATGAACGCTGGCTTGCATGAAAGTATTGGAAAGTGTGGACAACGGAGGGAAAGTGAAAATGGAGAACATGATAGATATTGAACCGCGAGGGGAATCCTGGAAGTTGTGCCGAGTTTTTCTGTTTGTTTTTCCCCCTTGGCACTTTTAGGTGCCTCCGCTGAACCTCGAGCTCGACCTGGACGCCCTGCCCGTGCGGCACTCGTGGGGCGACACCGCCGAGGGCGACAGGCCCCACATCTCGGGGAACAGACGATGCCATACACATAAACTTTCGGAGCTTCGCGCGGATGTCTTGGACCACCGCTGGGGCCCCCTGGCGGCGCCTCCAGCGCCGGCCTCATATTTGAAGTGCCGATGGTTGGAGCAAGTCCAGATGGAGCCAAGTGGCTCCATCGGGACCCCAACTGGATTTTGGCATCTCCCGACCCGCGCTAAATCCGTTTGGGGCAAGTGCGCTTGAAGACAGAGGGCTCCATCCTGTGGACCTCCAGCTGGACTCCCCTGGGGCCCCCGCGCGGCAGGGAGAGAGCGGTCCAGCGCCCGTCCAAGAAATCCGCACGGACCTCCGAATGCTGATGTGTACGGAATCGTTCGTTCCCCCAGCATCTGGGGCAGTGCCGGGGGCAGCCGCGCCCCCGGCGGCGAAGCCGCCGCCGCGGGCGCACAGAGCTCTGCCAGCAAGGGCAGGGGCAAGGGCAAGGGCAAGGGCAAGGGCCGCGGGGACCGGGCCGCGCAGCTGCGCGACGCCGCCTGCGTGGCCAGCCGCCGGAGGCAGCGTGCCGACAAGTATCGGGGAAAGGAGAGGTTCGAGTTCGCCGGAGCTCGGGTTTTCCGATGCCTTTTGACGGGCTCGTCCTGAAAAGCTTGCTGGCCCAGAGTTCGTGGCATGTTTGCAGCGGGAGATCGCGTCAAATTTCAGACTGAGTCTCGTCATTTTCCTGACGGCCCCGTCGGGCCAACCCGAGTCTCTTGAACCCGAGACTTCCGTTTCCCCGAAATGGGCACCGTGCGGCTTTTGAGTTCTACAGCACAAGATTGCAGGGAGCGTAGGGGGGCTTGGATGCAACTCTTGGGAGCTTAAAGGCAGCATCTGCGCTGGTTTAATTATCTGTGGTTGAAAGACCAGCCGAATCCAGCATGATCCTGCTTAGTCCGGCTGACTTCCGCTTGAACCTCGCTTGATGCAGCTCAGTAGTCAGGAATCCGATTGAAATCCCGTTGGCGTCTTGCCAGAATCCTAACACGATCTTGGTGGGATCCCGCACTGAGGGTTCTGGGGCGGAATATCACTTCCAGGGGCAGGAAGCGATAGAGTTTCGCCGAAAAGTGTGTGAGTGTGTGTGAGTGTGTGTGTGTGTGCTTGTGTGTGTTAATGTGTGTGGGTGTGGGTGTTGGTGGGGGAGGGGGAGGGGCGATATCGGGCGGGGCCAGGACGAGGATAAAGCGCGTTCCAGAACGCTCTCAGATCGTTACGGAACGCTCTGAGAGGGCCGCGGTGCCCAAGACATCTTCCAGACACGCCGGATCTCACAGATTCCCGATGGATCCTCATCTGATTTGATCCTCGTCCTGGTCTTGCCTTACTTCCAAGGAGCTCGGTCTGCCTTCTCAGAAGGCGCCCCCCTCGCGCCACCCCCTTTGGGGCGCCGCCAAGCTTAATAGGCCTCAACCTGCCCAAACTCCCGACGTCATGTTTTTTTCACCACGTGGACCCCAAGAGTTTTCGACCCATGCCCTCGGACCAGCGTCCCCAGGGAATGTCAGTGGGTCGAGACGTTCCCGGGTCTGCCTGTCCCAGGGCCCGCCGAGGGCCCCCAGAGGCCGAAATGAATCCTCAAAGGGCGCTTGTCATGATTTCTGCATGGCCCGAAGGGGTCGGGGAACGGTTCTGACTGGGCCACCCGCGGGGGCGCGAAGATAATCGCGCTTTGCGCGCGGCGGACTGGGCTGGAGCGGCTGCCCTTCTCCACGGGGGAGCGGCGCGAGGGCGCGCGGGCTTGCGAAGAGGATCACGCGTCGCTCATCGCGGGGCGCGATGCGCGCAGTTGGGTGGCCTCGTTCCGACGAAGACCTCCCAGGAATGGATTCCTCTCGCTTCGCGGGGTGCACGTCCGGAGTACGTACAGTCCAGTCGTTGCGGGGCCTCTTGGGAGCTTCTTTGTGGCCTCTTGGAGGTGTCTTGGGAGCTTCTTGGGGCCTCTTCTGCACTGGGCTTCTTTGGGGCCTCTTAGGGCCTCTTGGGGGCGTCTTGGGCCGTCTTGGGGCGCTCTTGCGGCGTGTGGCCCATCCGGAGGCCGGTCTCTCGAGGCCAGTCTGGGGCCTCTCGCCGCCGTAATCGCTGCTGTGGAAAAGTGCCCAAATGTGGAAGGTGTGGGCCACGGTGTGGGCGTTGGTTGGCGTGACCTGCTCGGCCGCCGTGCGTGCGTGCCGCTCCGTCCTGCAATGGGCGGCCTATGGGGGGCCTCTTGAAAGCCTCGTGGGGGCTTCTTGGAGCGTCTTTGGGGCCGCTGTGGGGCCTCTTGGGGCTTCTTGTTGACGTCTTGCGCCGGCTTGGGGCGCTCTTGCGCCGTCTGGCCCCTTCGGAGGCCATCTTGGAGGCCTCTCGCGGCCGCCTTAGGGCTCTCTTGTAGTCCTCTTGGGCCGTCTTGGGGGCCCCTTGGACCGTCTTGGGGGCCTCTTTTGGCCTGTTCGGGGCCCTCTTGAGCAATTCTGGGGCCCCTTTAAGGGCCTCGTTGGCCGTTTTGAAGACTTCTTGGAGGCTGCTTCGGCCGTCATGGTCCTCTGAAAGCCGAAAAAGGCGAAACCGCTAAATCTGTCAAGAGCCAAAGGAACATCAATGATTTCGGCTCCTGGAGGCGCTCTTTCGAGTCCTCTTGGGGCACTCTTGAGCCGTCTCCGGGGCCTCACGGGCCCTCTTGGGACCATCCAGGGCCGTCTTGGGCCGTCTTGGGGCCATCAGACCCCAGAGGCCCAAATCGTCGATTCTCTATGGTTTTTTAGATTGGTTTCGAGAGCCCGAGAAGGAGGGCATCCATCTTGGGTCGGCGGAGTGGCGCGACTCCAAGGGGGGGTTAGGGGGAGACATAATAATGTATAACAATACAGCATGTGGCAATTCTACAACGATTGGATGCATGGGATACGTTGCATTATCGCCTCCGCAGAAAACGCTGCCGCTCAGCACGTCACTTCCGGACGTGGATTCCTCTCGCTTCGCGGGGTGCACGTCCGGACTGCGGAGAGTACGGGCGTTTTGGACGCCTTGGGAGTTTTTTGGGAAGCTTCCGGAGGACCTCTTGGGGGCCTATTGGGGAAGCTTGGGGGGTTATCGGAATCACTTTTTTGGTTCTCTGGCACAGGCGTGACCAGGGGGGGAGGGGGCTGGTCACGTCACGATTCGCGCCCGCGGGAGGCGGAGGGTGAGGGAGCTTCGCCTGTGAGTAACTTGCGACCCTCTGGGACGCACGGAGGAAGGAGATGATTCGTGCTGCTCCCTTGGGTCGTGCTCCAGCACGTACCCTCTGGGACGCACGGAGGAAGGAGATGAGGGAGGATGCGTGCTGCTCCCGTGGGTCGTGCTCCGGCACGTACCCTCAGGGACGCACGGAGGAAGGAGATGAGGGAGGATGCGTGCTGCTCCCGTGGGTCGTGCTCCGGCACGTACCCTCTGGGACGCACGGAGGAAGGAGATGAGGGAGGATGCGTGCTGCTCCCGTGGGTCGTGCTCCGGCACGTACCCTCAGGGACGCACGGAGGAAGGAGATGAGGAAGGATGCGTGCTGCTCCCTTGGGTCGTGCTCCGGCACGTACCCTCAGGGACGCACGGAGGAAGGAGATGAGGAAGGATGCGTGCTGCTCCCTTGGGTCGTGCTCCGGCACGTACCCTCTGGGACGCACGGAGGATGGAGATGAGGGAGGATGCGTGCTGCTCCCGTGGGTCGTGCTCCGGCACGTACCCTCTGGGACGCACGGAGGAAGGAGAGGAGGGAGGATTCGTGCTGCTCCTGGGGGTCGTGCTCGGGCACGTGCCCTCTTGGACGCACGGTCCTCCCCCTCCTCCTCCTCCTCCTCCTCCTTGGAATTAGTTTCGCAATGTGGACCCCCAGATTTGGACGCCCGTCCTCCTCCTCCTCCTCCTCCTCCTCCTGCTCCTCCTCCTCTTCGGGCAGGGGATCCTCGGATCGGGTCGCCTCCACGGGCGCGAAGAGAGCCGCGCGTCGCGCACCGCGGCTTTCGTCGGAGAGGCGTCAATTTTTCCCAGGGCGGCGGCGCGAGGACGAGGAGGTGGCCGCGCACGGCGGGGGCCCGACGCGCGAGGAGGGGCGGTCCAGGGCAGAGTCGGGCTTGTCCATCTACAGGAGGAATACTTCGAGGGTGGACAGAATCCCCAACAGTGGCACGTCGACTCGTGGATTTTCCGTCTTCGGTTCTCGAGATGGCGCCGTGGCCGTCATTTTCCAGGCTTGCGCCCGCCAGGTTTGGGCCTCAGATCGTTTTCGCTACACCACGTTTTACTACAGGGGGGTATGTCCATCCCCGAATATTCAAAAGTAACCCAAACATAGTCTGGGGACGATGTTTTGACTATTGTGGGGCATATAGGGAGTAATGTTTGAGTTGTTCTGTTTTAGTGTTTGGGGGCATTCGGTGAGTAATGTTTGAGTTGTTTATGCAGCCCAGAAGCCCCCTGTAGGGGGGCGGGCCCGATTTCAAATCCAGGAGCATGGAGAGCAGGTGCGGGAGGGATGCAAACGAGTAGTGTTGGAATTGTTTTTTTTGTAGCCCAGAAGCCCCCAGTAGGGGGGGCGGGCCCGACTTCAAGTCCACGAGCACGGGAGAGCAGGTTCGGGAGGGATGCGGGCAGGAGCGCCACGCATCCTGCACAGGCCTCGAGGGCAGGAGCGCAGCCGGGCCAGGCAAGACGTGGCGAGCAGGGCCCTCCCTCTCGCCTCGGGACTGGCCCGGGCGTTCCTGCCGCCCGCTCCTCGTGCCTGGGTCGGGGGAGCCGGCTCGTGGCCGAGGCGCACCGCGGCCGGGAAAGAAAAACCCCCCTGCGCGCCTGCTTTCGAGCCACTCTTGTCAGGGGGCCACCTTCGAATCCTGCCCCCTAGCCCCCACGATGTCTGAAGGGGGAGCGAAGTTAGCCCCACCCTCCCTCCAGAAGCCGTGGGGGGCAGGGGCAGGGTTCGCATGTGGCTCCCTATTTGTGGCAGCGCGAGGGCTGCAAGCTCTCAGAGGTGCTTCGGGTCGGCGCTGGACCGCCTGCAGTGCCGTCCCTGGCGCGCTCCACGCGCCGGGGCTGGTGGAGCGGGGGGGGAAGTCTGGCGCCAGGCTCGGAGGATCCGCGCGGCCTGCACGAGTTTGCGGTTGTGTCGTGGCATCTGCTGGCCTTCGGCCCATCCCGCCACCGTACCTGGGCGGTAGGTCGGAGGCGTCTCGGGGCCTTCTTGGCCCGTGTTGGGACGCTCGCGGCTCTGAGAAAAGTCATGCAGGAAACGCTGGGTAACCGCGGGAAGCACAAGGGGATCCCAGGAGCATTTGAAAGTTTGGAGTCCATGCCCCTCAATATTCATTCCTGAGGACAGGGGACTTTGGACTACAGGCGAGGGTACTCCAATTCGTGCCTCGCTGCACGGTGGCGGATGTTCCACTTTGGGCAGATGGCGGCGTGGCGTGAGAGGGACTGGGTTCTACGGAGGCGGCGGGTTTTTTTTCGAAGCCCCCGCGGCTCTGAGAAACCTTCTCAGAGGGCCCCCGCCTTCAAAGAAGCCATCGCTTTCTTACAAGCCAGGCCCCTCTCGCGCCATTCCCTGTGAGCGCCGCCAGGGCAGGAGGGAACTTGGACGTGTTCTTAGAAGGGACGTTTCGTACGCGGTTGAAGTGGCTTTGTAGTGCGCGCCTCCCGCGCAAAGTTCGGACCAGGAGTTTCAGAGCCAGGGAGGAGTTTCATCCATGAGGCGCACACCGTGGTTTCAAACTAGTTTCACACGTTCTGGGAAGAGATGGTTGCTTACCCTTCGCGGTCGCAATTGAGGGTGGCGACCGCGGAGGGTAATCAACCATCTCTGGGACGCACGTACCCTCTGGGACGCACGGAGGAAGGAGACGAGGCGCGCTGCTCCCGTGGGTCGTGCTCCGGCACGTACCCTCCGAGACGCACAAGGGAGAATGCAGGAGTCGGAAGCTTCCCTTTTCAAAGGGTCTGTTTTCCTTACAGACGTGTCGCTCCTCCGCTGCCCATGTTGGCCCAAGTCCACTCTGCGCTCGCAGGAGCTTTCCTCTTTCGGGCCTCGCGTCCTCCGTGCCCTCTGCTCCACAGATGGGCGCCCGGGCGCGCAAACAGAAACGCGACCGCGCAGCAGCCTCCAACGACCCTCCGGCGCCATGTTCTCCAGCGCCGGCGCCTCCTGCTGCGCCCACCACGGCGCGGAGCCGCAGCCCGAGGCCCTTCGTGGCCCAGGCGGCGGCGCACCTTGCGAGGGCGCAAGCGCGTCCTCCTCCTCTTCGGCCGTTGGCAGCGGCAGCCGTCGCGTCGCCGCCGTCGGCCGCGACAGCCTCGGCCGAGTTGCGCAGCGCGGAGGGCGTCGTGCCGCGGCCGCTGGCCGCGCCAGCCCCTGGGGAGCTGCGAGGTGGGTTTGAGGGCGTCTGGGTTCGTTTCTTGAGCGTGTTCTTGACTTTCCTGGAGACGGAGTTTTGCCGCTTTGTGGCAATCCGCCAGGCGACCCCTAACGGGCACCTAGCGTTGCCCATGGCGGTCTCGCTGAACTTCGCCGAGGACGTGGCGACGCGGCTCTGGGATGCGTGGTCGGCTTTCGTGTCCGACGCCGCGTTGCCGACCTTCGCGACGGAGTTCGCGGCTCGCGCGACGGACCTCCTGCCCAGGGTGTTGCGTCGTGAGGATTCAGGCGGGCGCCCTGTCACCGGAGGTCTCTGCACCGAGGATATGATCGCCGATGACCTCGTCCGTGCGCCGCGGCGCATTCGCGGGGAGGTGCCCGGGGGCGGAACCATCGATAGGGACCGCGTCCGCCAGGGCCTCGTGGCCATCACGCGATCCCCGGTACCTCAGGAGGGCAAGCCGCGTCAGCGCTTCACCACGGTCATCTACAACTTTGAGGGGGACGATTTCCCTGACACCCTGGATGCGGGCCCCGATCGCAGGGCCGCGGATCACCGGAGCCTTGCTGATGACGACGAGGCGCTCCCAAAGTGGACCCGGGTGCAGTTCACTCTGTGCGACAGGACGCGCTGGGTCTGGGACCGGCAGACAGGGCAGTGGGCAACCAAGAGTGAGACGACCATTAGCCGCCTATGGCGCGCTCCGTCTTTCTAGAGAGAGTGCGTTTTAAGCGGGCTGCAGGTGCGGCGCCGCTAGGAGGAGAAAGGAAGGAGAGGGCGTGGGGGAGGAGGGGGAGGAGGAGGAGGAGGAGGAGGAGGAGGAGGAAGAAGAGGGGAGTGGGAGGGGGAAGAGGAGAGGGAGGGGGACGGTGCCGCGAAGGACTTGCCTCGCCTCCGCCCTACCACTTGGCTTGAGCTTGCTCGGCCCTGGTCTTTTTTTGCCCCCCACATCCTGAGTGGGGTTCTTGTTTTCCCAGAACACCCTCTCCTTCCCACCCACCTCCCGCTCCATCTTCCATGCAACACAATATTATTCCTACCACACACCATACCATACCATAGTTCCTACCACACATACCATACCATACCGTACCATACCATACCATACCACATCATACGTACCATACCGTACCATACCATACCATGGCGTACCATAGCATACCATACCATATCACACCAATGCCACACCGTACCATACCATACCATACCTCCAGTACCATACCACACCATATCATACCATACCGTACCAAACCATACCTACCATACCATTCCAGACCACTCCATACCGAAAACCATACTACTTACATGGTTTCGTGCCCCTCCCACCCCTCCAGGGAGGCCCCGCCTGAGCGAGGAGGGTATCGGAATACCATACTATTTACATGGTTTCGTGCCCCTCCCACCCCTCCAGGGAGGCCCCGCCTGAGCGAGGAGGGTATCCGAAAATCATACTATTTACATGGTTTCGTGCCCCTCCCACACCTCCAGGGAGGCCCCGCCTGAGCTAGGAGGGTATCGGAATACCATACTATGTACATGGTTTCGTGCCCCTCCCACACCTCCACGGAGGCCCTGCCTGAGCGAGGAGGGTATCCGAAAACCATACTATTTAAATTGTTTCGTACCCCTCCAGGGAGGCCCCGGACGTGCTCCGGACGTGCTCCTCGAGGTCCTCTCGCTTTATTACTTGCTACCAGAACTCCCAGCCGTCTCTCGCTTGACTCGCTGCATCCGGCGTGACCCGGCAGATCCGGGCAGCGCACCAGAGTCATGACGACATTAAGGGCAGCCATCCAGCGTAACCTGGCAAATCCAGGCAGCGCACATTTTCGGCATTGGCAGGGACGGCTTGCCTGCCCTCAGAGGAGGAAAACACACCGATGCCGATTACGTTTCCTCGTTTTCGCCTGGGGGACCCTCGGCGTCACGGCTGGATTCACTTCGGAACTCTGGTCAAAGCGCACCGTCAGAGGTCGTGGTCGTGTGCTTCTCGCTGTTTCGTGTCTCGGACGCTCCACGACGGCCCGAAGAGCCTCCAAGATCGCGCCAAGACGTTTTCGGATAAGAGTGAGGTTTTAAGCAGTATGGGAGCGGTTCGGACGTAGGGGAGGGTCCGACAATGGGGAAGCCTTGAAGACGGTTTCTCACGAACCTCAAGAGCGCGGAAGTCTCAGACGCTTTCGTATTGGAAGGGGAGAGCCGGAGGAGGGAGGCTCTGCTCCCGAATGGGTGTCACCCTGCGGGGCCACCAGCGGGGGCCCTGATCGACTTTGCACTCCTGGAGCATCTTTGGAGCTTTCTGGGGGCATTCGGAGGCCCTATAGCCCTATAGCCCTGTAGCCCTATAGCCCTATATTCCTAGAGCCCTAGAGCCCTATAGCTTTATAGCTCTATAGCCCTATAGCCCCATAGCTCTAAAGCCCTATAGCCTACATGGCCCTATAGCCCTACAGCCTTATAGCCCTATAGCCCTAGAGCCCTAGAGCACTATAGCGCTATAGACTTATAGCCCTATAGCCGTATAGCCCTATAGCCCTATAGCCCTATAACCCTTTAGCCCTATAGTCCTGTAGCCCAATAGCCCAATAGCCCATATAGCAATGTAGTCCGATATTCCTTCACATCTATATCCCCATACCCGTATAGCTCCATAGCCCTATATCCCTGTAGCCCTATAGTTCTATAGGCCTATAGCCCTATAGCCCTATAGCCTTATATCCCTTTTGCCCTTGAGCCCTAGAGCCCTATAGCCGTATAGCCCTATAGCTCTATAGCCGCATAGCTCTATAGCCCTATAGCCGCATAGCTCTAGAGCCCTATAGCCCTATAGCCCTACAGCCCATTCAGACTCCAACTCAGATTCTCTGATTCCCTGACTGAGTCTTCCGCATACCGCTCACACCCAGATACAGTAACAGTGTGCTCAGTCATATTCAGACTCACACGCGAAGACACATTCACATTCAGACTCACTCACATTCAGAGTCACTCAGCCTTCACGTTGAAGGCCGTGTCGGCCGTCTTGATGTCCATCCTGGTCCATGCTCGTTGTCGTGCTGGCCGTCCCCGACCTTGTTGGGGGCACCTTGGGCTGTCTTGGGGCACTCTTGGGGGCCTCTGATCTTGAGGCCATTTTGGGAGCCTCTTCAGCCGACCTTATTGGGGTCACCTTGGGCTGTCTTGGGGCGCTTTGGGGGGCCTCATCGCGAGGCCATCTTGGAGCCTTTTGGGGTCTTTTCAGGGAGCCCGCGGGAGGCTTTTCTTTTTCTTGGGGGCCATCTTGGGGGGAAAGGTTCAAAATGCCAGTTCGTCTTTCCCATCGGGGGCTCTTTGGGGCCGCTCGCCATTTTCGCGGGTTCGTGGGAGGATCTGTGGGGCCTTCTTGGGGCCTCTTGGGGCTACTTTGGCCCGTCTGTGGGATTCGTTCCTGTCTTCGCAGCACCGCTGCTATATCATTTGAATTTATTCGGAGGCATTCTGGGGATATCTTTTCATGCGCGTGGGCGAGCTGCGCCATTTTGCAGGCCTGCCGGGTCACTTTTGGGTCTGCGGAGGCATTATTGGGAGCCTCTTCTGGGCGTCCTACTGTCACTGTGGAGGCATATGGGGCCGTCGTGGACGCCAAGAGCCCTGCAGATGAAGGCTGTCCATCTGAAAGAGAAGGCAAGGTGGAAGTCCCGCAGCCACTTCGGACCAAGGTGTTCTCTCAGGCAAGCGAACTCGCGTTGACTTCCTCAGCATGACCTCGTTCCTCCAGTCGGCCGGTGGCTCCCCGCTGAAGGCCCGCAAGATGGACGCGAACTCGAAGGTCCAGGCC